ACACACACACACACACACACACACACACACACACACTCACTCTCTCTCTCTCTCTCTCTCTCTCTCTCTCTCTCTCTCTCTCTCTCTCTCTCTCTCTCTCTCTCTCTCTCTTTCCTGCCGCGGCTTGAGCTGCCCCACACAAGGACAGACACATCAGTCTGGATGCGATATAAGAGTCAGAGTCCCCAAAAGCAACACTTCTCATGGCCGCCTTTGAGACACTACTGATTTCTCTGCGCCCATTTTGCTGCTGTTGATTTTTGTCTCGTCTTTTATTCGTCGACAACAATGTAGATCACTTTAGTTATAATTTAGTCTTAATCCGAGTTTTAATGTTTTATTTTTTCTAATTTTGGTTTTACTTTCATCTGCAAAGATTTATTTTATAACAAAAACAATTTCACCAGCAGGATGATGCCCGGTGCAGGTTAATAACGCTTCCTCCTGATCTTTCATTAAATCCATCTTGGCACATGTTCTTATACACAAAGTCACATCATGATGGTGTAAGAGATAACCCTGGGTGCGTGCTTTGTTGTGTGCCATTCAGAAATCAAAGCTAATAATCTGATTCAGTATCGAGCACCGCTGATACGATTATCACCTCCTTCTCACTCGCCCATCGGGCTTTGCTTTCACTCTCCGTTCTTCTTCTTCCTGTCCTACACGCCTCAGTGTGTTTTGATTACTGGCTGTGTGTGTGTGTGTGTGTGTGTGTGTGTGTGTGTGTGTGTGTGTGTGTGTGTGTGTGTGCGTGTGCGTGTGTGTGTGTGTGTGTGTGTGTGTGTGTGTGAATAGAGCAGGATGGACATTTTTAGGGAGAAAGACAGACCACAGATGGGCCTTGTCAAGTCTGTACATCTGGCTTTGTTCCTGCCCAACTGTTCACACACGACGACGCTCGGGCTTACGTTTGGTCTACTTTGTCAGGCACGATCTTCCTTCCACAAGAGTACATGAATATGAGTTTAGAGTTTCAGCCATGCCCTCTTCTTTGTGCGTGCACATTTATGAAGACTAGAGTGCTCAGAAATGCACTCGGACACACACAGATGCACGGTGCAGCAGGACACAGCGGGGATGGACTCCTGTTGTTTGCCATGGTTGCCAAAGTAATGATGCCAGGGAATCGGGACTATGCCAGATTTAATGTTAGCCAATGATTTTCAGGATGTTGGAGTACCAACCCTGGCTCATATCATAGCGCCACCTACTGAGACAAGTTTAATATTAATAACTTGATAAATATGAAAAGATCATAAAATAAATCCTTTTTCCCACTTTGTTCAAAGTTTTAAAGTTCATCAACACTATAAGAGCCATAATAATAGATATCATGAATATGATGATGACCAAAAGCTGAGATAAAATAGAACCAATAATAAAATTTGAGAAATAAATCAATCAAAATCTGCGTCTCAGATTTGACGATGCGGAGTTCATCCAGGGGTCAACTTTAGCCTGCTGCTCTGCTGTGTGTGTCAGCTGCTCAGGGTCCCTGCATGGCACCGAAACATATGCTTTATAAGATTCCTGCGGTCACTGAAACACAAATGTTCGCGTTTCAAGGACACCCACACGGAAGGGAAAGGAGAAGAGAAACCCAGAGCTTGCACAAACGTCTGCGTTTGTTTCCTCCTTCGCTCGTGTGATTCTCACTATGAGGGAATGACAAACTGCAACACATCAAATTGCCTCTTAAGCTACAAGCAAAATAAAATTATCATCACTTTACCTTCAAAATCATTAAATTCACACTAAAGCAAAGAAGCTGTTGAATACATTTGAACAGATATGAATACATTTTTCGTGATTCGGTTGTTTTCTGAGGATCCTTATTGTCTCTACTTGTCAGCAGCTTCCAGAACTTTCTTTTTAAACTTTTATTCACACACTGCACAACACACATCTATTCAAAGCCTGACTAGGACCGAGCCGGTGTCATTTGTGGTGAACTAAACGCAGTCAGTGTGTGTAACAGAGAAATACCACCATCCGCAGTCATCCAAACCGCATCTTCGTGTAAAATTGAGCAGATATTGTACCATATTTTTCACTTTCTCCTACTTTAGTTGTTGTCGTCCTCCTCCACTTCCCTCTATTCTCCTGCTCTCTTGCTGTCTTCTGTTCCCTGTGCTTGTCTTTCTGCCTTTGAACGTATCCCTGCATGCCCACGCACCATAACCAAAACCAGCCTGCTTATTCATTTTACACCGAGGTATCCGTTTCTTCTTCCTCTGCTCTTACTTTATGTGTGGTCGCCTCAGTATGACTTACCCCAGACAGCGCTATCCTGTCCCACCCTCATTATATTTTCACACTCGGCTTCCCTGGGACACCAAAACGCAGACACACGCTTCTCCACATAAATTCCTGATTGCACGTGTGCATTTTCTGTGTTTCGTATGACTTCAGCACCAACGTCTTTCTGTCCAGTCATTGTTTAGGATGTAGTGGCATCCAAAGCTTACTGGAACTCTGAGATTACTAAACTACAAGCTAAGCTTTATTTAAAAGTCTCTGAAGATGCTGTTGCTCTTAAACAGTGTTGTCCTTCTCTAAACAAACTCAGTGTTGATGGAAAAAGATGGCGCCTGAACACACAAAGCTGGATGTTGCACGGACTCAGCTGTAGACAAAAGTCTCATAAAACGTCTTTTTAAAGCATCAACATTTCAGCTGCCATCAGTAAACAGCAGGTTTCTGAACTATCGTCTTTATAAACTTTGCCAGACAGAACCTGTTCTAGCTTAACATAATGATGCATATGATGATTATTCAAAACTCGACCTAATGCACGCAGCAGCTTAGGAATTTTACGTTCTCATATTTAAAGGGACAGTAGAATGTAAAGCCATTCTTATGTTGTTGTTGTTGTTTAGTTGAACAAAGGCAGCTTGGGTGGTGAAATGTAGCATACTGACAGGTCAAAGCCATGTGTGAGCTGCTTTCGATTAATCATCTTGAAAAGCGAGAGAGAAACTCTGAGAGATGCTTCTGATAACACCTGATTATCAAGCCACTTCTGTATGTTCCAACCCACCTGTGTCTGGATTATATAAACCTTGGTTGCAGTAGTAGAAGAAGAAAATATCATTTCTATAGCGCCTCTCAAGATGAAAATCACGAGGCGCAGTAATGCTAACCACAGAACCACTCTAGGCTGAACTTCTGCTAACCCTAGCTGAGCTACTGCTAACGCTAGGCTGAAGTACTGCTAACATTAGCTTGAGCTTCTGCTAACACTAAGACAAGCTAACGGTAGACCAGACTAAGCCAAGCTACTTCCAACATCCTTGTGGATGCGAGGAAAATGCAGATTGTGAAAGCGCTAATAGGATAAACTGGCTATTTTCAGAGCTCCTGGGTCATTGTGAGCCCCAACAAAGTTTTTAAGCTATATTGAGGTTCAAAGCTCAGTTTTTAATAGTAAATAAACAGCATCCAGATAGATAACATTCATCATCAATCAATCAATCAATCAATCTATCTATCTATCTATCTATCTATCTATCTATCTATCTATCTATCTATCTGTCTATCTGTCTATCTGTCTATCTGTCTATCTGTCTATCTGTCTATCTGTCTATCTATCTATCTATCTATCTATCTATCTATCTGTCTATCTGTCTATCTGTCTATCTGTCTATCTATCTATCTATCTATCTATCTATCTATCTATCTATCTATCTATCTGTCTGTCTGTCTGTCTGTTCTACAGCCCCTTAAATATCATTCTATACAAAGACTAAATCAGTCATGTGCTTTTACCCCCCCCCCCCCCCCCCCCACCTCTTGCCCGTTGACTACTAGACATAGGCACCGCCTTCCCGTGACCCTACTGAGGAATAAGTGGTTGAGCTAAAGAGAGCACGTTTTCTGTTGCTACAGTGTTTAAATGCAGGTAAATCTATTGTTATCAGCTTGAATTGCTAATTATTACATATTGTTTGCCGTATTATTTTGCTGAAGAATATAAAAAAACCACTACCATCTCCAACTTGTAACTGTTAAACTGGATGAGAAACAACAATAAAATAACGAAAAATGCCAAACAGGAAACTACGATGTGTCCTAAATGGTATCCCATATCAGTGTGTAGGTTTACAGCATTTCAGGCAGCATTTAAACCAAAGACAATTTGGGACACAAAGGAATTATTTTCATAGGAAAATGTTACAAATTTGTCAATTAGAATAGATGCATTTATGCAGTTTTATCAAGGTGATGAGTTCATTAAAAAACAATCATAATATTTTCTCTGCCAAAAGTGTCCGTAAAAGCAACTTAGCCGATTCCCAACATCACATCCCGACGCTTTACACTGAAGACACGAGTTCACTAAACAAAAGTGGCTCCTTTAGCTAACATTCACACTCAGAGGTTAAAATTATGGAGCCAAGTTTTAATTTGGCGCTTTGCAAAATGTAAAGCCAACTAGCTAAACAGATGGAGGATAAAGATTAGTTATTCGAACTCCCACCACAGCACTGGAACCCGTTTGGAAGTGAAATACGCCCCAAAAACCCAACAGATCCTTCTGTCCAAAAGTCCCAATGTTTATCAAATGTCTGCTAAATGCACGGGGACATGAATAAAGAAGTAAACTGCCAAAGAGCAGTGAGTTATTTTTATATTTGCTGCTGTTTTGCTCTTAGAATTTGTGTGAGAAAAAACAAGATGCATGGATGGAAGTCGTTGGTCCATCGTTGGTGCACACAACCAGAAGCTTGTGTTTTTACCATTGCTCCAAGGAGAAGACGTGCTAAGACACACTGTATATTATGGTCTGTGTCAGTTGAGATTAGTGTGATCGCAATAAATATGCTTTTCAAAGATAAACAAACGTTAGGTTTCCTTATTTATGGTTTTTAAATGATCAGCTTCTTTGAGTGGAAGTGTTATAGTTATTTCATTTTTATTGAAACTTTACATTTGTGAAATTTTCATTGCTTTCATCCACTTTCAACCTTCCTTCTTTGTTATTTTTCTCTCTTTAGTGTCTGACAGCCCAGCCGGAACAGCAGGGAGTGGACCAGGCGGAGGGTTGGACTCTTCCCAACCTCGTTTCTCCTCCTCCCTTCCTACCTATCTCCCGGTTCAGTGCCAGCTAAGTGGGGCTGACTCCACCTTCTTCTTGCGGGAAGCTAATCAGGAGGTCATGCGAAATGGCAGCCTGTCAGCTCGGACTGAGCCTTTCTTCCTTCACCAGCTGGAGCCAGGCGTTGCTGCTCCGCAGTCCCTGCCAAGTGTCAACTGTAGCTATGGAAATCTGAGCATTGAGCAGCCAATCCCGGTGGAGCTCCTTCAAGGTCCTCCGCCACATCTATTCATCTCAACCAACCAGGTGACGTTAAACTGGAAGGTCAAAGGTCAAGTTGTGGTGCCTAAAGTAGGGTCAACAAAGCCTTGGATTCAGGTATTGACATCTTCCTAAAGAAATACACGGATTTAGTGATTTAAGTAGCATGAATTGTTAATGGTTATTGTTTGAAACATATTATTGTTTATTGCCTTTTCAAGGTGCCTTAGAGTTTTAAAGTTAAGTTTTGGGTTTAACTGGAAATGAAAAACAACTGGAATCAAATGGATGAAAAAGATCTGGATTTATGATTTGAATGGTAGAATTGAAAACTGCATTGATGTTGTTGTTGTATAAAAGCAGCTTGATGTTGCACTGAGAAACGGTTCATGCTGAGAAAAGCTGGTTTACCACATCATAAGCTTGAAGACTGCATGCCCAAACTCACTTCACCTTGGGCAATTTATAAACGGTGGTCGCTAGAAGAAGAAGACGAAACCATGTTTTATTTAGCACCTCTCAAGGTAAAAATCACCAGGCGCTTCACAAAAGCAAAAATGAAAAAATAAAAACAAGATTAAAAATGGTTAAAAATATCATCAAATTGGGAAAAATAAAAAGAACAACTCGTGATTAAAAATGTGAGGAAAGTGAATAAGAAAAGATAATCAGTGGAGACCAGGAAAGGCAGAACTGGTAACCAGAGCTACTGCTAATACTTGCCCATGCTGCTACCACTAGTCCAAGATACTGCTAACGCTAGCTCGAGCTATTGCTAAAGCTAGCGCAAGCTACTGCTAACACTAGCCTGAGCTACTGCTTACTTCCTCAATAAATGAGAAGGCAAAACAAAACAAGACAAGAAAAGGAATGTTGAAGTGTTCACGTTCAAGCATCTACTCGGAATATCCAGACCGGAGCCATGCACATGTCCTTGTCTGCTCCCCCACCCTTATCCCGGGCCACCATAGCTGGGCTGCACTACGGCACCATCCCCCCGCCAGTCGAGGTACACCGTCCAACAAGCATGCAGCAAATTTAATATTGATGCCCTGGTCAGGCGGGCTGGGTTAAACCAGTAGTGCTTAATCAAGGGGGTTGAATTGGACCATTTATCCGAGCTCCTGGGTCATTGCGAGCCCCACTCTTTAATATGGCTCAAACGGTTTTCAATTGTAAGAAAATTGTTTCTAGTCACATTTTAATATAAGTAAAGTGGTTTGATTTGTGTGTGAGTTGTAGTACTTTGTTCTTTTTAGGTACTCTTTTACCTGATTGGTCGGCGCTGGGATGAGCCTGACCCGCCTCCTCCTGCTCTTCCATGTGTCAGAGCCTTAGCCATCCGTGACATCAGTGATGCAGCACCTTCAGCAGGCTGCCGTCTCATGGGACCATCTGGCATCTGTGTTGTCCGTCTGGAGATTCCACCAGCTTGGTTTACACCATCCCAAGTGAAAAAAAGACCTCTTGAAGGGACTCTACCACCAGTGGAAGTGTATTACTCAATTATACCAATGGAAGGAGCTGGCCAAGAGTGTCCTTCCATTGTTAACGAGCCATGGAGAGCTCAGAGTGCAAACGTTGGGCCTCTTGGAGGCCTTGGCATGGGTCTTGGAGGACAATGGAGCACCTTAGAGGATGGAGGCCTTCAGGACATGTTGAAAGCTGGTTCTGTGGAGACGAGCGTGGGCACAGTTTCTGCCAAAGGAGAAATATTGCAGTTGGATGAAAATCTGGATGTTCTGGTGCCACCCAGTCCAGTACGGCTTGGCAAAACTGTGGCATTTGGCATCTACATGAGGACAGATTCGAACAAAGATCAGTTCACATTGAGGTAAGACCGCGAGTGCTCTTTGAATGATTTGGTTTGACTTTAGTTTGAATTCTCCCATTTTTGTCAAGTTACTACAGCTTTGATGTCGTTCTACATCTTGCTTTTTATTCACCAAATGTTTACTTTGAGCTTTAAATCCATCTGGGTCTTTATTGCCTCTACAAAGTTCTCTGTCAGCAGGTGTCTGGTGAGTTAACCATGTTAGCTTAAACTCGTGTGCTAACATCACAATATAGTACAGATTACTATCGTGTACCATACAAAGTAGTATCGGTCAGTTAATATAATATTAATACTAATGAGCGTATGTCAGCGGTCTCATACTCGCTAACATCCGTTCATGTATCCTAGTTTAGCTTAGAGA